CTGTTGTGCCCGATGTTCGCTTGGAGCGCGACATTAGCGCCATGAACATGGCAAACAGGCAAAGCCGGCTAGTTTGCCAAATCGCATGCACAGAAAAAATAAGTTGAACTAAATCTAAACATCCCTTGCAAAAGGGATTTATTTGAAAACTTATCTTAACTGATATTTGAAAAGTTATAATAGATCAACTTCTTACTAATTTTTGTAGAAGAAGTATAAGCTTCTATAAAGAAAGGTCCGGGCTCGAGCACCACCGCTGCCAAATGATTTATTTTTTAACGTTTTTAAGGCTATTTTGATGTTATAACAGTTGGACAAGCGATTGAAAACATAGCATTTTTATCAGTACTAGAAAAGTTTAAAGTTCAAGTTCTGCTTAATTTTTTTCCGTGCACTTTTTACAGGGTGGACTTGCATTAGCTACTGACCCATGGCCCGGGGTTGCGGTTTATTCGAGTGCAAAGCCAAAAACTTATTTTCTGCCGTCAGATGGACACTGGACACGGAGTTCTCTGGTTCCTGACGCTTCTCCGGCTGTGAGTCACCTAACAACTGCACAATGATGTTGTTTCCCCGCACTGGCCGCCCAGCATGTCAGGCTAATAGTTTTCATTCGGGCCCATGCACTGCACATTGACCACAGGACCAGAAACGGACAGACCCGGCCACTTCAGTCGGCACATTTGTCATTCCCATTTTCTGGGCCATATTTCACAAGTAATTTTTGACTACACAACAGCGAAGCTACTGACTAACACCCAAGTAAGTCAAGGGTAGTCACTCATAATTTCAGCCTTATTGACGCAATGTTCCAAAGACGAGTGACATACTACCACTCTAGTGTCCATCTGCCATTTGTTTTGGGTGTTTTGTATGATAGTTTTTGAGTGCATCATAGTGAGAAACGTATCCGTAATGACTACGGCCTAATTTACTGCAAATCTCTTCTCTTTTGTTGCTTGGAAATTGCTTTATTGGTTTGAACTGAAAATGAATTGAACTTTAATTAAGATACGAACGAGAAAAAGAAAATTGGAATACGTCCATCAATTAATTGTAACACGGATTTTAGTTTACGAGACTCACAGCAGAAGCCCATGAAAAAAAGCACACATTCAATCACTTTAGCATAAATTTGCACGTTTAAAGAATAATGTATAAAATAAAAGTGTTGAGTTACGTGAACACGTTATGTGTACGCAAAAACTAGGCAATCACACAGCCAAAATACTTGATTGCCTATTTGTGAATATGGTAAAATGGCTAACTCATTTATAGTATATAAATAAGGAAACTCAAATGGAATCGTTTTGGCCATCAATCATTTTCGTTGGAGGCTGAATTAAATATGCAAGTGCAGGCTGCAGGGATACTTCTTTTCATATTTCCTCCGCCTGCTGAGAGAAGGAATACATGCAGATTTCGATTTATATGTATGAAATTCCATGAACCATTTTCACAAAGACATTTTCGGCTCATTTTTTGTACAAAGCGATTGCTGCAGCAGCTGGACAAACATGATAAGAATGCCCACCACTCGAATCGTTGCACGTTCAAGTCGAGAAATTCCGAAAAATTGTAAAAAAAAAAAACAAAAACCATTTACGCACATGCAGAACTTGGGCTAAGAATATTCGATTCTGCAATTTACATCCGAATGTATAAAATAGAGTCGTAAATTGATTTTTATCTTTTGTTCTTAGTAAATTGACAGGCGGGTAAATATGCTTGGATTTGCATTCTGAGAAAAAGAGACGTGGTAAATCAAGAGAGTACGAAAAATCTTTATTATTAAGTTTTCCCAAATCATTGCTAGAAGACTCGTGATGGCCAAAAATGTGCAAAATTATATTGATGAATGCAGATAGACACCCAAAGAGCACTTCTTTGGCATCACTCTTATTATGGGTTTTGTGTTCCAGGCTGCAGCTGCTGTCGTTTTGGTGGTGTCATGCAAAAACTCAATAAATTTTGCGCAAACGATTTATCATGAGCTTGATTACGAAAATGCAGACACAATCACAAGGAGTTTGTGTGTGTGTGTGTGTGAGTGTGTGCCCCATGAACACAGTTGCATGCATAAAATAATACGCCAATATTATAATAGACATACAACAATGGAGCCCCGATTTGGCAGACATTTTTCACATGTCAGGACATTGATTTGCCGTTATTACACAAAATGGCGGCCGGGTACCGTTAGTAGCCCACTAATGGTTGGAGTCCTTTACTGCGCATAAGTATGTGTAGGTGTGTAGGTGTATGGATTCAGGGTTCTAGAAAGGTTATAACTAAATTAGCATAAATTGCGGCACGAAAATCGACATTAGAAAATGGCCTTTCATTGCACACAATGTGAAGTGTCGAGTAAATGTTTGAGCATGCCCCTCATCACAATTGTACATTAACAGTTTTGGCTTTGATTTATGGCACTGGCAGTGGCACTGCCGATTGCCTTCCATTGAGTGGGCGGAATACAAATTAATAGATTAATATTTTATAATCGAATTTCGTTCGTGATTTGCATACACGGCATGTCCTCAAGCAGATGGCGAGGCATTTAAACAATCCCGCCCAAAATTATTAACTGCACTTTGTCGGAGAGGCCGTCAAAAGGTTTCCATTAACTTTAATTTACTGCCAGACCACCTCGCCTCCGGAATCCTGACAGCACCTCATCCAGTGCATCTGTCAAAGCTTCTGCCAGAGCCGAACGACAACCAAGACCAAGTCCATGCACAGTAAATTAATTAACTTTATTGTCTGGGGCTGCCCGGTCCGTAATTTGATTAAACAGCTCTAACAGCATTTCCCATTTCCCATTTCCCATATACACACACACAGATGTCTATGTGCACGCACATAAATTCTAAGAAACGTTTTAGATGGGTCTATCAATTTGATGGCTGCATTTATCATTTTTGGTCGCAATTTTAAATCGCAAACTTTAAGCCTGCCAAACTCAAATTCATAGACTAGTGCTAATGCAGTCCGAAGTCATCGAGAAAAGACGTCCGGATAATAACTCTTTCATTTGCTCTTTAAGGTGCGCAAAACAAATGCTTTCACGGAATTAGAAAAATTAAATAATTAAATTAAATAAATTATGAAACTTCACATGATAGCAATATTTTTAGCACAAGAACGTACTATTATGGGTACAATAGTAAATTATTACTGTATATTAGCAACGGGTGTTTTTTCACATGTTTTTTCTTATATATCATAAGCTGTTTAAATGTTTAAAGAAATTGTTCGTTAAAACTCATTTACATAACATAACTTAAAAAAAAGCAATCACCCTAGCACTTGAACCGAAAGGAGTAAATAATGAGGAGAGTAAGAATATTCAACGAAAATGCAATTTTGCACTTTTCGCCGTGCTTTGCGAGTTTCTCTGAGCTGTTATGCAAAATAAAAGTATAAAATAAGTAAAAAAAAATGGAAAAACGTTGTGTATAGATGGAAAAAAATATTCCCTAGTTGATTTGGAAGTTCGTAATGGAATTTAAGTTTTTTTTGCAGTAATTTGGCCAGAGCATTGCAATTTCAACGATTGATTGTCAGGAATTTTGTGCAGAGCTGAGCTAAGATTGAAATAAAAAATATATTAGGGACAAAGAATGGAAATGTAAGCAGAAACGCTCAGATGGTACGCAATTTACAATTGAAACTTTTATTAAATATTGTATACTTTCAACATTTTTATTCACCAATACATTTTATGAGAGCCAAGAGGAAATTTCAACTGGAATAGGATTTACAAAATATTTAAATATAAATGAAATGTGATTCAAGTGTGACTCTTAAATTATAAGGATAACTATAATGGAATCCCCCGCAATTTTAGCTATTTTCAAGCATCTCTGTGGATCTTTAGGGACTTTAATAAAGTACGATAAGAAGTAAGATAATAATATGAATCACAGTTATGCACCGTGGAAGCCAAAGCAAATATAATTTAAATAGGTTCTGTAACCCAGTGTTTTCCTCTGCAGTTGATAAGAAGTAGATGAAGTATAAATTCCCAAGGGAAATTATGTAGCAATAAATGGTTCTTATCAAATGGTATATATTGTATATCCAACTCAAATTGTGCTCAGTTCAAAAGTGTCCAGCAGTCAAAGGAGATCGACATGAAATTCCTTACCATAAACTTCTTCAAAATAATTTTAATTTTTCTTTTATCAATCGTTTTGGAACCGGAGGGCGAAAGTCAACAATGGTACGTATAGTACTTAAAAATTGTTAAAGGTTAATCAGAAAAATAGTGATTTTGAATTGTAAAAAGTGGTGATTAAACTTAAAAATAAAGTGATGAATAAAATTTTAATTTTAAGATTATAAAAAAGTTAAATCTTTTTTACAAGTACTAACCATTGTTTCTATTTGATCGTTTGTTCTAGTCTGCCTTTTTTGAAGGGTATAAAAAACGTCAAGCAAGAAACGATGAGGACCTACTATACACAAAAAGGTTATTAAATTGCATTCGGAATCCCAAATCATATTTCTTTGATTTACAACAATATACAATGTAAAATGTGTATGAGTCAACTTTAATTTCATCACACAGAAATGTGCTATAAAAAAATTTCACGTGTAATTATAATTAGTTTTGAACGATAACAAAAAGAAACCTACGCTATATCTAACTGCTTTAAAATGTAAGTAATTTTAATTGAAAATAAAAAAAAAAAATCATTTGAATAGAAATATACCCTTGCAAAGGGTATTTTATTTATTATTTTAATCAGAAGCTTGAAAAGCAGCGATGATTAGATTAGATTAGATTAGCTTTGCCTCCTTTTTTTGTTGTTTCCGGTTTACAGCTATTGTTGACTTTTACAAAAGCAAATAAAGTGACGTATTTTTATATAAAAACACGATTTACTATATATAAATAATCGGCTGCATGTCAGTCAAACGCGATTAGCAAACGAGTTCCACATTTCCTAAGAACCCAGTCGAGATCCAGTGCAATCAAATGCAACTAATTGCAATGAACCTGAAATTGGGTAGACATAGAACCGAGACGTTGGGTATTTCACATTCAGCGTAGGGCAATACCACACGTAAAATTTGAAATGCGGTTTTGCCCGAGCCTGAAATAACAAATAACCTGATAACAGATGATCACATCGGATTGACGGCAGAGTATAAAAGCGAATGGATTCGATGGAGCAATGCATCAGTTCAGTTTGCACCTCTGTTCTACCTACTTCAAAGATGAAATTCCTTTCGGTTGCCTTTCTGCTCGGCCTTTTGGCTCTAAGCAGCGGTAAGTATTGCCCACAATAAATTCTATTTTTCAATTTATTTATGACAAAATTTGTATTTATTTAGCTACTCCTCTGAATCCCGGCAATGTCATAATCAATGGAGATTGCCGAGTCTGCAACGTTCACGGCGGATAATGGATATGGCTGCATATGAAAGGAATTCGGCAAATGGATTATTGACCAACAGAACATGCACAAATTTATTATCAATTTTTGATTGGACTACTTGAAATAAAAACTCGCTCACTAATCTCTGCTACTTTTGATTTAATCTCTCTGACCCAATTCCGTGTACGATTACACACCCAATCGAACATATGTCGTTGAACATTAACATCTCATTTCATTATTATTGCCTGAAAACGTTTGGCATTACCGCATTTATATTCAGGGCCCAAATGGTTGGCTGATTTGGTTTGAAGGGCGGGACTGGTAATGCAGTTAATTGATTTGTTGTAAAATTGTTGCATAAATTCATTCATTTGCTGTTGGCGCATTGTTGGGCCCTTTATTGTCTGGATTAAGGAACATAATGTTCACTTAATATGCACATAACTGCTATGTTAATGCTCCACTGAGAACACCTATTTTTACTGCCACTGATGTCCCCATTTGGCATTTGCATTGATTTATTAGCATTTTCCAGCGCGGAAAATATGGGCCTGATTAAAGTTTTCGTTTACCTTTCGCTACACATTATTTAATATTTTTCGAAAATGGATAATAATGAATATAATATTCTCATTAAAAACTCCACGCCCACGATAATCTTATTGGTTTTAATTTCGTTGGCATCGAAAATTGTAATTCGATGATGTTCAGATAATTTGTGCATTCAAATAAGGCATTTTTAAGCGAAAACCCCAAATTTATTATTTTTACGTTAATGAAAGCAATAAAAGCAATTAAGCATATTCAATTTTCAATCTAGTGTGTATGGTAGCAAAGTTTTCTTAATCAATGACAAATTTAAAGTGGAAACAAAGGGTTTCAATTTGAATATTTCCCTTCAGAATACTGAAAATACGCTTTCGGGATGGAATTATGTACATCCAAATATTATACTTAAGTAGGTAAATTTTACTCACGGAAACATATATTTACAGCATTTTGTGGTCTTGTTAGACTTACCTGAAATAAAAATAAAATAATTATTAGTATAAGTTTAATGACAATATCAATATATAACTTTAAATTTAGTCGAGTTTTGAAACAGTTCAAATTGATTCACTCTGCAATTGCGAATGCAGATTTATGTCCCAGCAGCGCCAATAATCAAAATGCATTTTTTGGAGCTCGTTTTTGGTCTTTTGGCAAGCACACAAAAATTTCTTTTCACTTTTGCCACAAACAGACTCACAAAGGAAGTCCTGATGATGGGGGGAATCATCATCAGCCAACATGAGCTAGAGAGCGAAATAATTTCAGTGCCCAAAGAAGCCCAATGCGCATAATTTAACTGACGAGCCGACGTGCACTGATAGAAATGAGTATTTTTACGAATTAAACGTACCCAACAATGCATTACTTAAGTTATGGTGGAAACACAATCGCCTAATTTGATTTATACTCCTTTATTATTTTATAAGAGATATTAAAGCGTTTGCTTGATACGAGTATGAGTATTACAAAACGTTGTGCTATTTTTTCTCAGTGCGCTGTGCGGTTGTGGGAGTGTCAGAAGTTAGGGCGTTGACTGCATTTCATTTGAGTTTTCGACAGCCAGCAAAATGGTAGCATGCTGTGTGGCTGAAAGCCGCAGAAAGGCGCAGCTCTGCGAAGTGGGAGGGGTGTGCGGGATCGGGGATATAGCCTGGCCATCTCAACTTCGCTGCCAATAGAGAGTGTGTGTGTGTGTGTGTGTGTGCGGGTTGTCGGTGTGCTTTATCGCATAATCTCGGTCCCTGGGCCTTGGCATCATTTTGGTGATTTTTCTTCTGGTTTCCGTGCAACTCCATGGCCCGATAATGACGTTAATGATGGGTTCGCTGATGTGTTGCATACTTCTTGGCAGCCAGTGTAAAGTGGATGGTGATGGCGCTCTGCGCGACTCAAAGGTGGCTTGTACTTTTGCTTATGGATATTGCTTCACGGAGAACTCCTTATTGTATAAAGCCAAATATATGGTAAGGCCGCCCCAGAGTATGCCATAAAAATTGTATTGCAACAACTCGTTGAACGTTGAAGACAAAACACCAAAAGCGACAAAACAAACAAGAGCAAGAAAAACTTCAGAAAACCACATCGCAACCCTCCTTTTGACCAAGCCGCCCCTTTGCAACCTTTTTCCACTGCTGCTTAGCATAAAATTTACTGCACCAAGCGGCATTTGAGCGCTGGCCCAGCCCGTAAATCCAGCTAATCAAATTTATTACCCATATACTGGCAGACCAACCGCAAGCCATGGCCCTCTCTCTCTCACTCGCCATCCAGTCGTCTCTTTCTCTTTCCCCTTTGAACTTAGTGCCCGTGTCTGGCCACTTCGAATGCCTTGGCAATATGCATATTAAATTTAATTAGAGCGACTGGTAAACATAAATTCATCCAGAGGAACACGTAGCCCGCAATGACCAGACTTCAAAGGCAGCTTAGAGCTTTTAGCAGGAAATCTGGCATTATATTGAGTGCACACACATACAAACTGGGTAAGCACTAAACAAAAACAAAATCATTCCGATAAAGATGGAGTCAAACATATTGCAAGCTGTTGTGAGCTTTTATTTAAAATTAAAAAGAAAAATAATTAATATATATTACCCAAGTAAGTTTGATCAGTATTTGAAAGGGTATAAGATTTAATTTCCGTGTAATTTGTCGGGTATTTAAGCATGAATATAAACCAAAGCTACTGAGCCGAATTCGTTTACCACCCGCAAATAAACGCACCGCACTATTATATAAAAATAATCGTTTAGTGCGGCAATGGGCGAAAAGCAAAGATATTCCCGAAAATTAATTGCAGCCCAGAATGCCCAAAACGATGGTGGCTCTTTTGGCTAATTTTGATTATTTTACTATAGCACTTTGGGTGTGGGGTCCCACGTTAATTGCCTTACAGGCCCACAAACTGGCTTAAACACACACACACACACATATATATACACACAAGGACCCAACAAATTGTTGTGTGCACTCAATTTAAATGGAGTTTGGTCCCAGCTCAGGGGATACTCTGATAGAATTTTTGCTCATTTTATACTGTTTCCGGAGTTGCCATGAATGTGACATTAATGAGCTCCCGGCTGATCCCACAGGCGAAAAGGCTCTGCTGCTCCTGGCCACACAAGCTTTATGGCTATAACTTGTCCTTGAGTTCTGGAGAGGAAGCCAAAATTAAGAGTGCTGAGTGGAGACGTGGAGAGGTGGAGACGTGGAGGTCTGAGTATGTTCATAATTAAATTGTTATTTGGCTGAGGAATATGGCCCTAAAACTGCCTGTTCATTTGAAGGTTATAAAAGGTCGCTTCTGGCTGCCCAAATATCACCTCTTATGTGGGTTTGAATGGGCGGGATTAAAAAATTACATTCATGGCTTAATGGAATAGCCTTTTGTGCGGTGTCCCTGCAACCTCTGCTGTCCACTATTCGATAGCTATTTAACAAAAAGTTTCTGGTTTGGCTAGTAAAAGTTTTTGATTTCACTCCAAAAATCAACGTAATTACTGTTAGGTTAGCTAGCTTAAAAAGTAACTCAATAACCGTGAAATTGATTTCATTAACATCATTTCTCCACGGATTTTCACAAAAAAAGAGAGGAGAGAATTTGATTGCTTATTATTTTGCTAAAGAAAGACATTCTATGCCTCACATCATCAGCAGCGGTCAGGGATTTTAAACTTAACAAAATTACTTAAAAGTTTAAGCGGATTAAATAAATCTCATTATTCGATTGGCTTGACAATGCAAAGAAGTATCTCAAGGATGGGACTTTGTTTAATGTTGACTTGAAATCGAAATTTCTTAAAGTTCTGTAATGAACATAATATTCATTAAAGATAATACAGGTTTTTGGTATATTTGCTGTATGGCTGGTAGTATCATAACACAGAAATTAATAACAATACCTCTTAATTACTTGATTCCTAGACGAAATAAAGCCCCCCAAATCTCATTAAAGTCTTATCGCCCCCAGACCGCCCAATTTGCAGCGCCAGATTGAGATTTATATGCCTCATGGAGTGCATGCCATAAATCTCGATCCCAGGCGCAACACACTTACATGCTCGTTTGATGTCATCCTCAAATCTTCGGGGAGGAGACGGAGGCCAAGCCACAGAACACCTCAATGTATCCAGGATGAGACGGCGGCACACCATTCATTCGGATGCCGCCAATCGGTGGTGCATTTTGGGCGGCATAATGAAGTTGCACTCGCCAGGGCGTTACGCAATCAACAAAAATGTATAACACACACACGACCCAGACACACGGTGATTTTATCTAAATCAATTCAACGAAAGCTCCATCCAATCCAAAATGCAGGCAGCCAGATGCAGACAGGCAGAAGGAAGTAGCATCCCGCATGGATTTCTGGATGATGCCGGCAAACAGAGAGTGCTAAAAATACACAGAACTCAAAGTTGGGAGCTGGGAATCCGGAGTTCAGGAATACAAAATAAGAAATACAGAGTACGGAACACGGAATACGGAAAACGTAACCCTCATCCGCCCCTCGGAAGGCAAACACAATAACAGAGTCAGACTGCGATAAGAGAAACAGAAACTCAAATTAAATTAAAATCTTTCAGTTTCAATTACGAGTTTTTGTGTGCACCACTCCGGTTCCAGCATACAAAACACAAATTGCATTCAAAATGCATTAAAAGCAATTTGCACGAAAAATTTACATAAAATCCAGGAGGAAGACAGAGACAGAGACAGATACAGAACGAGATAGACTGCGATAGCTACAGCGACAGCCCAATTTTATATTGCTATCAATTATAATGGCAATGACAAAACGCAAATGCAACACAAGGTGAAGTTGAAGGAACTTTTCACAGTCAAAGCGAATGGGGAGTGCCACACGGGGTGGCAAACAGTTGGTGGAAGTGGAAAACAGAACAAATTGCAGTGTTGCCAAGCGCAAAAAATAAACACCCGAATGCAACAGTGAAACATTCGGGGCAGGCAGATCATTTGCTTACAAATATAGAAAAGCAATGCATATTCATTTGTTTCGCGCATGTTAAAGACGGCACTGTGATCTTGGGATGAATACTTTTCAAATTAGGCGATATTTTCAGAATG